CTCCGTCTCCCTCTCTCTCCGTCTCCCTCTCTCTCCGTCTCCCTCTCTCTCCGTCTCCCTCTCTCTCCGTCTCCCTCTCTCTCCGTCTCCCTCTCCCTCCGTCTCCTCCTTCTCATACTCTATTTCACAAGTGAGGTAGGCAGCAGTAAGATGGACAGCAGCAAGATGGACAATAGTAAGGCGAGCAGCAACAAAGCGAGTAACAAATTATAAGTGAAGCATAATCACTAAAATAATCATTCTTTTGGAGGAATTGCAAGATGAACTCAGTTTTATTTAGTATCTGAAAAAACACAAAAAACGAGCTTTCGTACCAAGGTTTAGTCGTACTACGTACATTATCGCTCCTTCCAAACTTCGTGCCTTCCTATTCGAGATCATACCAAAGGGATGTATGCGAATCGACAACCTGCTCTCCCACCCAGACACTTCGACTTTCCATCACTTCCATCCATCTTCATTATCTCAAACACCGCTTTCCACCTGCAACACAGAAGTCTTATACTTCATCCCGCATGTTATCACTGATCTTGCTACGCGTCCTGCCATTCAGTAACTCCTTCCGGTACAGCTGCCTGCCATGGCGTCAGCCAAACCAGAGCTAGGTGAGCGTCTCCGTCTCCAAGTTACGACTTCTTATCGTCTTAGCTCCCCACAGATGTGCCAGACATCGAGACGTTGATTGAAGACGCGTCGAAGATGCATGGAAAAGCTAGGAATACAACCGTCGACTTATCATGCTCTTTAGTCGCCTAACTCCTGTACTATCCAAAGCACACCCTAATACCACGGCGCTGGACCCCGGCATGAGCCCAAGACCACAGTCGAAGTATTCGGCGACGGCCCCGACTCATACCATGGCGCGATGTACGCCAGGTACGCAGAGATTCGCACTCATTACAACTCAAACCTAAACCGTATGAAGGTCAAAGGACCAATCAAACAAGAAGTCATCGACCTACTGTTACCTCCAAGACAGACATCAAAGCGATGTCTGATTGAATCATGTTGGAGCGGAAACGTACGGCGGTGGGCTAGACTATCGGTGGTGGGATGGCAGATCGTTGTATTATAGGACAATGAGAATTGGATTAGAAATGAATAATATTGAATCGAGTGTACAGTGATTAGGTTCGATCTGGCGATCAAGCCTGTTTCCAGCTTTGCATAGTTTACATCAATGCAAGAAGAAGCTCCCAACATCTTGCTTTGTAAGTAAAGTACAATAGTAACTGGCTTCCCTCACCTCGACAGAGTAACCGCCTGCTAGGTTACGCTGTTTGGGTTTGTTGGCAACTTTCGGTGTTTCCTGAGCAGGGATGTCCTCTTGTGCCAGGTCCTCTTCCGAATCCCTCGGTGGAGGTTTATTGCCACGTTGAGCCCATCTCCACTCCCACTCAGGGGCAATCGGGTTCGAGTCGAACTTGAATGTTCCGGGCACGCCGATAGGGAGTCTTTGCTCAATGTAGTCGAAGCATTTGGGCTCATGATGACATTGGCTACTATTGGCATGATGGTCTCGACGTTGCGCATTGGTGAAGTTGTCCTCCCATGTCAGGTTGGAAGGACGATTGCAATTACCACGACCACAGAGATGACTCGCATCACCAACTCCCTGTAGCAGCAAGAGAATGTCATCCCCTCGCACAACTCCTGTGGCGATGAGGAGTATACGTCTGAGGTTGAGTTGCCAGTCGTGGTACTCGTCGCAGTAGAATGATTCATTCAAACTGTTGAGCTCCTGAATTCGAAAGAAAGAAAGAAAGGCTTCGACGTAATATAATTCATACAATACTCTTTCATCATGATCTTTGGTGCTTCTTGACGACAGTGTCCACATTCCTCATGTGGTTCTGTGTCAAATTGACACTCCATGAACACGGCAAGCAGCTCCAGAGTGGCCATGTTTGCCGGCTTAGACAGGATCTTTGCGCAGCAGTCCGCATGGTGGATTGCTTGATGAGTGGGTTGAAGTTTCTTCATCTTGGAGGTGTCATGCCTGGCGATGAGGAAATTTGCGTTGGCTTTGATGATCATTTCTGGTGTAATATCCTTCAGGCGATAGCGTAAGCTGACTCGTACTGGCCCGACTCCTCCTTGTCGTCGACGCGCCTGCGAAGGTCAGTATCGTACTTGAGACAGGAGGCAGATGTCTTACTCCTGCACGGCTATCCTCAGCTTCCTCGCCGGAAGTCTCCTCCTCTTCCTCGTCTGAGCTATCAATTTGCTGCAAAGTGTTAATCAGTGATGGATGGGAACGTGAGAGAATGGCATACCTTGCGCCCGGATGTGGAATCAGGATCAGACGCAGCGCCTCTCCGCGGGTTGCGTCTGCGAGGAATGCTGTTGATGTTTCGCGGTGGATCACTCTCTGGATCAGAAGATTCGATGGTAATTGGTTCCTTTTCAGGAAGGATACGCCTGTTACGCTCGAGTGCCTGCTGGATTGCTCTCTTCCTACTCTCGCGGGAGCTTGATGTGCTTCTGCACAATGAAGTTAGTACCGAAGTCGAGCAGAATTGGCGGGGGATCACAATCAATACCGGAGGGCTGAACATTAGTGGTTGTTTCCATTTCAGGAAGGAGACGCTTGCCGCGCTCGAGTGTCTGCCAGATGTGCTCTCCATGTTCGCGAAGAAACTTGATGCAGTTCTGCCCAGAGACGTTAGTACCGAAGTCGAGTGGAAGTGGGAGTATTTGTCAGCATAATGTAAGGCTCCCCGTGCTCCCCATTCTGGAAAGCAGAAAGTATCAGAGATTCGTACACCCACCATGAACTGCCCTCATCATCAACAATCTGCCTGACATCGACGCTTAGGTATAAAGTTTCTAGCAATTCGGTCATCTCCTCCTGTCGGAGTTCTCCTTCCCAAAACTTTAGTCTCGATTCCCGCTCGCCCCAAATCGACAGCAGCTTATCGAACCTTCCTTGTACTTTCGTAGCTACCCACATTACTATTCGCCCTTCAAGTAGTCTTATACCTCAACGCTTCCTTGAAAACCCTCAAGTTCCAACAATCGCAGTGCACAGAGTGGAATGGAAGGTATCCAGCAAAGGGAAGTCTGTTGAGTTGTATAGCTAAGAGTCTTCGAGACAACTCACTATTCACTGTTTAATATGTTAGGCCTGGAATGTACCATAACAAAGCTTTAGCAACGAAGAGCACTGACCACTTCCATACGCAAAGAACAATATACAGCACATCTCGCGCAAGCCTTCAACATGATTGTACCCGTACTCGACTGCCGCTGGCGATGTGGGAGTCGGTTCACAGTATGCTGTTGCTCTAGTGTTGCCGTATTCTTCGAGAGTACATCTGCAAGGGATACCAAATGCCAGACAGGTTGCTCCGAACGATCCTCAAATCCTGCTTCCTCTGGTTTGTCTGTGTTGTTATATTGTCCTTGGCTTTTTAGCTATTCCTTAACTTCTTCCTTCACGACATTGGCGTCACAGGG